TGATCACCAGGTGGAACGGCTTGGTATGTACAGCTAGTTGAGAAACAGGAAGTTTTCTGCAGTTTTGCAAGCAGGGAGATTTTGCAAGCAGTTATGGGCCAGGGGGCCTGGTTAAAGATTGCATAGCCTAGGGACTTTCTGCCCGCTCTATGGACGTCAGGGACCTAACAGTAATCAAGAAACGTCTCATCCCAAGTCGACCATTTGACAACCTGAGACCAAAATTTAAGCAGACAGCTTCAGTTTCTCCATCTATGAATAAGGAACAACAACTTAAACTTTATGGATCGATTCGTGAGCACTCAATGCTATTTAACACGTGAAAAACTTTTATGAAATGTCAAGTGTAAGAGACATGCTGGTTATGATGGATGCCTTATCAATCTGGATATATCAGTTATTCACACTGATCTAGCGAGTCATTTCACAAGGTAAAATATACCTTGCAGCGAAGAGTCTGCTCAAGAGGAGACCCCCGAGTGTGGCGGGAGCTGAAAATACCTGAGAGAGGGGCGTGGCTCTTTCAGCCTAGTGCGCATGCGCAACTGGGAAAAAAAAGTAGGTCCACTCTTGTGCCTGATTAAAATGTTTAATTTCAGCATTTGGTTTTTCCACTCTTTACTATATTTACATTTATTTATAACACATTCCTGTGTACTTTATTAATTATGAGGCTCAAATTTCTCTAAGACTGATCTTATTTCAACCGAACAAGTTTTTCTACTGGGGTGATTTTTTCCCCATCGCAAGCCCTCAATAAAGTTTTCAGTGTAGGATGATGACGTAATTTTGTTGAAAAACAACCATAAATTACCCACATACATACAAGGGCTACTATGAACCTGTTTTCTTTTATTACTCAGGCACCTTAGTAGTTACCTATCTCCTGGGGGAGGCGGTGACGCGTGTGGACCCGATGGACCCCGGCGCGTCGCCATTTTGGAATCTTCCCTAAACATCTTCTACCGGCTTTTGGTGCCGCCACCTCGCGGGTTTGCCGGGCAGAATGAATGTGATAGATCATGTGCGGGACATGGCGGCCGCGGGGCTGCACTCCAACGTGCGGCTTCTCAGCAGCCTGTTACTTACCATGAGTAATAACAACCCGTGAGTTGAGGCGGGGAGCGGGCTGGGTCTACGGACAGAACGGCGGCTGTTTGGGAGTCGGGCTGAGGTGGCCTAGGGACTGGCGCCAAGGGGCGGCCGCGGGTCCCAGCTGAGGTTCTGGGGCCAGCGAGGGCCTCTTCGCGGGGAGTGGACGTGGGAGAGTCAGTTGGGCTCCATGGGTGGCCGGACGTGGGGGTGCGCACCCCGCGGGGCCGGGGTGGGTGGGGGTCCGAGGACCACCCTGGCCAAGGTTTCCCAGGCACTTGTCAAGGGTCGGAGCGGCTGTCAGGCCGCCGGGCCGAATCCTCGCCTCCTAGCTCTTCCCACGTTGCCTCGGTGATTGGCTCAGACCCTGTCCCCGGTTTCTATGCGTTGTCCCACATTTGAGATGGACACTTTCCCCTAGAGAGTATCGGGAGGGTCCGACACGGGGGACTCTCTTGGTGCGTGGGAGTGGCCTGTTTTAGACTGGATCTGACTATGCAGCCCAGGCTGGCCTTGAACTCGCGATCCTCATGTCTCAGCTTGAGTGCTGGCATTACAAGCGCGCACCACCACGCCCTGCTTGAGAGTGGCGCCTTTTTAAGGACTTGCCCGAGGAGCATGTCCCTTTCTTGTTTGCGCAGCTACCGTGTCTTGAGTGTTAGGTGAAACCCGGGGCTAATCCTAGCCCTGAGTGCATGTCTCTCCCTTGAGAGCTTGTATTCTTTCCCGTGGCTTCTGGAGCCAGACATCTGCCTTCCTTTCTCTCCGATGTCGTGTCATGACTGTCCACTGCTCTTCAGCCTCCCTGGCTGTTTTCTGTTTCTTTAAAACACAAGCTCGTTCTCAACTCTGGGCCTTTGCACTTGCTGCTTGGATTCCTGGTTGAGGTTTCAGCCCAGCTGTCTCTCTTAGCTCTTCTCTGACTAGCAGGATTGTCCCCCACTCCTGTCCTGTCCCATTCCCTGCTTGATTCTTGCAGCGCTTAACCATTATTGGAGAAGCACTGCTTGCTGAATGTGCCTAAGGAAGTGCCAGACCTCCAGATGAAACACCTTGATCAGGTTCACACATCCAGTAAGAGGGGAGTGACCGTGTCTGGACACGGCCTCTCGGACTAGGGAGAGCCTGTTCTCATCCACCAGTCTCCTTCCTCTAAATGGCATTACAACGCATCTGCTCTGTGCACCCATTTGGCTTGGCCTGCTCTTGAAGCTGGTCCCATCACAGGGAAGGTCAGTGAAGCGCCTGCAGCATGCTCAGCCCCTGCTACCACTTCATTCCTGAGAGTTGCTTTGGCCCTCACTAGTGAGATTCCTCACTTCTCTGCCATCCACTAGTGTTGAAAGCCAGGAGCGCTGGTCCCTGTCAGCCCTGTGTTTATTCTGGAGCTTCTCACCTGGTTTTGGGTGATTCATCAAAGTATACAGTTTCCACAGTGGGAGATTACTGAGCTAGTCATCACTTTTGCTTCAAGATGTTACTGGGTAGTTTTGAGCAGTGTGAGCCTTTGGCTAAAGTTAGCTAGCCTATGCTTTTTCACATTACGTGTTAGTGGGCAGTTTCTTAGCTTCAAGAGGTGTTAAGTTCTGACTGTTGTCACATTTAGAAATTTCTTATAGGCGATGTATACACTTTAAAAAAATTCAAAAAGTAGAGAAGGCACATGGGTGTCCCCCTGAGCCTTGAACCACCTTCCACAGGTTTCCTTCTCCAGAGCAGCAACTATTTTTTCTTGTATCATTCTAGAGATAACTTATGAATGCATAAGTAGGCAAGTGTATTACCATATACATATCTGAATATCAGGGCTTCATCCTTGCAAAGCAGGCGCTCTTCTACTCGAGCCACACCTCCAAGTCCACTTTGCTGTGGTTGTTTTAGAGGGGGGCGGAGCCTCACAAGCTGTTCACTCAGGCTGGCCTTGAACTCCGGTCCTTCCAGTAGCAGCCTCCCAAGTAGCTAAGATTACAGGTGTGAGCCACTGGTGCCTGGCAGTCTTTTCTTCATTCAAGTATCAAATGCTTTTCTCTCACTAAATATGTAGAATCTCAAGAGTTGGAAGAGATTTTGTCATCTGGACTATACCTTTCATTCCTTCAATTTCCTTCGTACTCTATCTGCAGTATTTAGCTTTCTTTTAATTTTTTTTTCTTTCTTTTGCATATCTGGGGACCAAACCCAGTGCCTCACACGTTCTAGCAAGTGCTTTTACCACTGAACTACATCCCCAGCCTTTTTTTGAAGATACAATCCACATGTCTTAGAATTCATCCTTTTGAAGAATCAGTTCTGTGAATTTTAGAATTTTCGAAAGGCTGTACAATTATCACCACTATCTAATTGCAGACTGTTTTCATTATCTGAAAAAGGAGCCCCCATCCATTAGTAGTCACTCCCCAATCCCTCTTCCCATGGTAGCCACTAATCTGTGGCACCTGTTCTTTTTTTTTTTTTTTTTGCGGTACCAGGACTTGAACTCAGTACCTATACCTTGAGCCACTCCACCAGCTCTTCTTGTATTAGGTATTTTCGAGATAGGGTCTCGAGAACTATTTTGCCCAGGCTGGCTTTGAACCGCAATTCTGATCTCTGCCTCCTGAGTAGCTAGGATTGTAAGTGTGAGCCACTGGCACCCAGTATCCTGTTCTTGATATACATTCATTTGTGGATAAACTAACTTCTACAGAGTACTTTCTTTTTTTATTCATTTATTCATATGTGCAAACATTGTTTGGGCCATTTCTCCCCTCGGCCCCGCCCCCTTGTTCTTTCATTTTAAGCAACTGTTGCTTTTAGCTGTCAAAGAAAAATGTGTAAACCCTTCTTAACTTGGGAGGAAATGAGATTGGAGGTTAAAAATTAAGAATAGTGCCCAGGGCTGGGGATATACCTTAGTGGTGGGGTACTTGAATCACAGGTGGGGGGAGAGGGGAGGGGGGAGGGAGGGGAAAAAAATATGGTGGCTAGACATTTATTAAGGTTCTATCCCACTCTGTCCTATTGCTATCCCATTCTGTTCTCATACAGGCATTAGAGTTTTCAGGTCCCTCCAATCTTTTTGTTCAGCCCCTTCCTAAAAAGGATGCAGAGTGGTGAGGTCTCTATTTTAGGCCTTCAGCCCTTTGGTAGTATTAGTTAAATCATTGTAATTGCTCTCCGTTGTCAATATCATCCTTAAATCTTGATATTAACATAAAAGAGTGTGGGTGGACATAGAGCAGACTATTAAATTAAGAGGGCTTAGATTAAAGAAGGGACAATGTATTATGTTTTCTCTATAATATTTCTGTTATATTGGATTTGATTTATAGGGATCATTGCTTTTATATTAGGGAAATATTTGATTGTATTAAAGCAGTATCCTAGATGTGTTGACCATATTTACAGAGTTCAACTTTCATGCCTCTCATGTTCAGGAGGCTTGTTAACGTTTTTGCAAACTTGTTCAGTTATATGAGCCTTTGTTCTGGGGTTATGTGAACATTAAGGTGTTCTAACATTTCACGATAACCCATGTAAAGTATGCTTTTGTTTTCTAGAGAGTTACTCTCTGCATCTCAGAAGTACCAACTTTTGGTGTATCATGCAGATTCTCTCTTCCACGACAAGGAATATCGGAATGCTGTGAGTAAGTATACCATGGCTTTACAGCAGAAGAAAGCCCTAAGTAAAACTTCAAAAGTTAGACCTTCAACTGGAAATTCTGCATCTACCCCACAAAGTCAGGTAATTGAAGATAGAATTTTGAGGTTTTTGTATTTTTTTTTTTTGAGAGAGTGAAATAATTTGTGTGTGCTGCTTGTTAATGTATTAAAGCATGAATCTGCTCTTTGTTCCTTGTTACTGCCAAGTAATATTCCATTGTGTGGATATGTCATGCTTTATTTGCCTATTGATGGATATTTGATTTTTATTCTATTTCTTCCCCATGAATGATGCTGCTGTGAGCATCTTTTTTTTTTTTTGGTGGGACTGGGATTTGAACTGAGGACTTCACACTTGCAAAGCAGGTGCTCTGCTTCTTGAGCCACACCTCCAGTCCATTTTGCTCTAGTTATTTTGGAGATCCGGTCTTGTGAACTATTTGCCTGGGATGGCCTTGAACCTCAATCCTCCAAATCTCAGCATCCCAAGTTACTAGGATTATAGGTGTGAATCACCAGGGTCCTGCCTTCCTGTGAACATATATATACAGGTTTTTGTGTGGACATGTATTTTCAGGTCTCTTGACTGTGTATATAGGAGCACAATTGCTGGGTCATATGAAAGCTCTTTTTAACATTTTAAAGAACTGCCATACTATTGAAATTATATTTTGAAGAGACTTTTTTTTTCTGCAGTACTGGAGTTTCAATTCAGGATTTCATGCTTGCTAGGCAGGCGCTCTACCACTCAAGCCACTCTTCCAGCCCTTTTTTCTGTTGGGTATTTTTGAAATAGGGTCTTGAGAACTATTTGCCTGGCCTAGCTTTGAACTGCAATCCTCCTGATTTCTGTCTCCTGAGTAGCTAGGATTACAGGTTTGAGCCACCTGTGCCCAGCTGAAGAGATGTTTGTTTTGTCTTCTAGTGTCTTCCATCTGAAATTGAAGTGAAATACAAAATGGCTGAATGTTACACAATGCTAAAGCAAGATAAAGATGCTATTGCTATACTTGATGGGATCCCTTCAAGACAAAGAACTCCCAAAGTAAGTTGAATTAACAGTTTGTTACCTACTTTCTCCTCCCTAGCCCTCCAAACCCTGCTTCCTGCATGTTTTCTGTATGCATTAGGAAGTCCATTTGAACATTTCACTCATGACTCTGATTCTCTTCTTTTAATGGAGTGTGGGTTCAGAAAGATAGATGAGTGGCTAGCTTAAGAAACCCTGAGAGTTCAGCTGATGAAAGAGGTAGCTGGACAGTACTACGAGTGCTTATTCTTTGGTGTTTTTTACGGTAGAGAATAATGACTTGTAAAACACTTCTATGTGGCAAAAACACTTTTTTAGTACTTCATTTTTTATTCTATTATTTTTATTTTATTTATTTTTATTTTTTGTGTGTGATACTGGTGTTTGAACTCAGGGCCTTGCACTTGCTAGGTAGGCGCTGTACAATGTGAGCCTCTGTGTCAACCCAGTACTTCATTTTTTTGCATTCCGTAAATATACCCATTTGATAATGGGAGTGATTTTGTTCACCTTTCATTTTCAAAATGAAGCACAGGATCCCTTTATACTTAGGTGCGGACTCTGCAGTTGTGTTTGATTTAGCAGTATATTAATTGTAAAGAGTGTACCTTTAACTGATACCAGAAGACATGGTGTCTTGAGCTGGGCGCAGGTGTCTCACACCTGTAAACCTTGCTACTCAGAGGCAGAGATTGGGAGAATCGAGATTCAAAGCCAGCCTAGTCTTCCTTTAGGAGACCCTATCTCAAAAAAACCCGTCCCAAAAAAGGGCTGGTGGAGTGGTTCGTGGTAGAGAGCCTGCCTAACAAGCTTGAAGCCTTGAGTTCAAACCTGAAGATCTGGTGCCTTGTTTGAGCTTAGAGTATATAAGCTATATGCACTATGAACTTGGACAAGTTACCAATCTTTAAATTTTAACTTTTTTTCCTCCTTATTTAAAAAATGAGGGTAATAGTATTTTCTCTGTTAACTTTTGTCAAAACTATAAATAGGTTCATAAATATGAAAAAGTTTTTTATTTTTGCTGTGCTGGGGATTGAATCCATTGGTTTGTGCATGTGCTAGTAAGCACAGTACCACTGACCTATACCTCCCACTCTCCTGTGCCTCCCACTGACCTACACCTCTAGTAGTGAAAATACTTTTTAAAGTACTAGTCTGTGGAGATGTATTTATGCATATTTATAAATTTTTTTTGAAATCCAGTTTGAAATAACAGTAAGACTCCTTGCTCTTTGAATTGAAGTCATAATCAATCAACTTTAATATTCTAATATTTAAGCCTGGAACTGGTGGCTCACACCTAGCTACTTAGGAGGCAGAGATCAGGATAATCAAAGTTCAAAGCCAGCCTGGGCAAATAGTTCATGAGAACATACCTGGAAAAATAGGGCTGGTAGAGTGGCTCAAGGTGAATGCCAGTACCTCAAAAAAAAAAAAAAACCTAACATTTATTCTAATGCCAGCTGCCTTCCTCACTTCATTGAAAAAGCTTTCAGGCAACTTTTGTTTAACAGTAAGGAATTTTATAGGTATATTCACATGACCTTAAAGACAAGGAATTGAAGCAGTAGTGACCAGGTGTATTTTAGTTACTACTTCATCCAAGTGTTTTAAAGGTAAACTTGTTGAGAACATGTTTAAACACCTCATATTGAGGAGTTATTCACTATTTCCTGTGTTGCTTGCTTTGAGGAGACTTTTTTGGTGCTGGAGATTGAACCCAGGGCCTTGAGCATACGATTATGAACTACCTGTACACCTGTTTTATGAATTTTAAAATTAAGATATTGGCTGGTCACCAGTGGTTCATGCCTGTAATCCTAGCTACTCAGAAGACAGCGATCAGGAGGATTGAGGTTCAAAGCCAGCTCAGGCAGGTAGTTTTCAAGACCCTATCTCAAAAATATCCAACATAAAAAAGGACTGGCAGAGTGGTTCAAGTGGTAGAGCACCTGCTTTGCAAGCATAAAGCCCTGAGTTCAAACCCCAGTCCCACCAAAAATAAGTAAATAAATAAGTAAAACTAAGCTGTTTCCTCAGTGTTTTACGGTGGTGGCTGCTGTTAAAAACATTTGGAAATATATTATGGAGTAACCTTTCTCATTAAGTGTGGATGCTGATTATTGTGTTTTAGTGTCTTAAGAAAGTCTTCTTGGTTTGGGAATGTGACTTAAGTGGTAGAGCGCCTGCCTAACAAGCACTAGACCCTGAGTTCAAACCCCAGTACGGCCAAAAAAGAAAAATTAAGTTTACTCTTACCCTGAGAATATTTTTTGCATATATAAAGAATGTCTGCTGCTATACTCAATTTGACTGTAAACTTTTAAGCCTTGAGTGATATTATTCCTTATGTTATTAGAAATGTGCCTTAATAGTCTTAATGACTTCAAGGTGTTTGGGGGACATTTCTGGAAAATGAGTAGTGACATTAATGTATGGTAAATACCACCACACATTCCCTCACATTTTAAAGGAAAATTTCGGTGTTAGTTTATAATATTTTTAGGAACTGATGACTACTTCTATTTATAACTGGTAGACTATGGCGTTACCACTTTCCCAAGTAAGGATTTTTTTTTTTTTTTTTTTTTTT